TAGGGAAAGCATTCTGTTGAGTAAACTTAAGGTTTCTTGAATATCTTTAAACTTATCCCCAACTTTACCAGTCCTACACCATGTGCTATAAAAAGCACATAGCATAGAATTGGTGAAAATAGTGTGATCGTATGTAAATACTGCATTCTGGAAGTAAATGACAAAGGTCACTAACAAATATTTCCCCAAAAAGCAGAGTGTTTTATAATATGTGACTTAATTCTAAAAGCTAAATTCTAATTTGGGGGGATGGGTATCACTGTTTTTAATGTATGGAAATGTTAATTAAACAGCAAATATAGTAAAAAATAACAAGGAACTACCAAGAATCGTATTTGATTAATTATGTAAGGACCAAAACTAATTAACTGAAACAACTAATAAAGATAGTAAAATTATTTTCTGATATTTTTAAGCAGTTGAATGTCATTCTTACTGTTTCATAATAGTGTTTAGCAAATAAATACAGTCTGAGATTTCTTCTTTGGAGAGGTTCAACACATTTCTTAAATAGGTAATAAAATTTTTTTTCCTGTACACTTGCATGCTTACAAATTAAAGCTTATATTTCATTGCCATTTGAACTCTCTGTATTAAAATTCCAAATTATTTTATTCTCCTTGGAAAAGAGATTTCTTTGATCACAATTTGAAATTGTCTTCCTTGATGCTCTTTCAATACATTTTTTTTTGATGATACATTTAAAAATTTTTGTAAACACTAGAGACCAAATAGACTAGAGACATATACAGAATATTCCATCCAGCAACAGCAGAATACACATATTTCCGAAGCACACGGGGAACATTTTCTAGGATAGATCACATGTTAGGCCACAGAACAAATCTTAGCAAATTTAAGAAGATTGAAATCATACCAAGTATATTTTCTGACCACAGTGGAATGAAACTAGAAATTAGTAACAGCAGGATAACTGGAAAATTCACAAACACATGGATATTAACACACACTCCTGAACAACCAGTGGATCAAAGAAAATATTAAAAGAGATGTAAAAATGTGTTGTGAGACAAATGAAAAGAGAAGCACAACATTTCAAAACTTATGGGATGCAGCAAAAGCAGTTCTAAGAAGTTTATACTGATAAGCATATACATCAAGAAAATAGAAAGATCTCAAATAAACAACCTTTCTTTACACCTACAAGAACTAGAAAAAGAAGGTCAAACTAAGCCCAAAGTTAGCAGAATGAAAGAAATAATAAAGATTAGAGCAAAAATAAATAGAGAACAGGAAAATAATAGGAAAGCCAAGAGTTGAATCTTTAAAAAGATAAACAACATTGACAAAACTCTAGCTAGACTAACCAAGAAAAAAAGAGAGAGGGTCCAAATCAATAAAGTTATAAATGAAAGAGGAGACATTACAAGTGATACCACAGAAATATTAGAAAAATTTCTCCATGAGATGGAATATTAAGCAGCTAATAAAAATCATATCTTTAAAGACTGTTTAATGGCTTAGGAAAATGTTTAATATATGGTATTAAGTTTAAAAAAATCAGCATGTAAAATTTTGTCCAGAATTTGAGGTAGTTTAATGTTCTAATGATGCAAAAATGAAGGTTAGATACAATACATGTTCTTTTGCCATAGTTAACAGTTGGATTTGTATTGCTGTTTTAAGAAAATAATGTAGAGTGTTTTTTTAGGCCTGTTGATTGCATACTGTAGAAGATTTGATGTGCAGGCTGGTTCTTCTATATACTATGTTTCCTCCACAGTTGGTAAGTTCTTGTTTTTGCTTTTTATTATATTGAATTGTACTGTCTGTAGGAAAAGGTCTAAAAATAAGGAGTCCTGGATTCTAGTTCTTCATCATGAATGAATGAGACATATTTTTTCCATCAAAAAGATAATTATACTTTACTACCTATATCACAAGGTTTTGGCGGTTTAAAAAGGAAATTATATGTGAAAGAAAAACTTTAGGTTCTACACATAAAATGCTTATTAAAGCACATGGCACATAAGAGTCAATAAATTCTATAATACTAGATTTTTAAAAAATACAGTATAGGGACTTCCCTGGTGGTCCCTATACTGTTAAAGAATCCACCTTCCAATGCAGGGGACATGGGTTCGATCCCTGGTCAGGGAACTAAGATCCCACATGCTGTGGGGCAACTAAGCCCACGTGCCACAACTACTGAGCTCACTCACCTCAGCTAGAGAGGCTGCTTACAGCAAACTACAGAGCCCATGCACCCTGGAGCATGTGTGCCACAACTAGAGAGAGAGAACCCGTACGCCACAGCTAGAGAGAAGCCCGTGTGCCGCAACAAAAGATCCTGCGTGCCTCAATGAAGATCCCACATGCCGCAACTGAGATCTGATGCAGCCAAAAATAAATTAAATAAATAATAAATCTTTAAAAATACGGTACAATAATTACATATTAATGTAAATAAATTTATGGCACAATAAAATTTCACCTGGGACAGCAGTGGTAGTTGTCACTCATCCTTTTATTTCTATTATCGAAAACAGACAGGAAGAGGCTGTAAGCCAAAAAATACTTCTGAACATATCAAATAGATATCTCAAAGTCTGTACACCAAAGTTCTTTATTCTTAGGTAAATGGCCTGCACCAGAGCCATTTAGATACTGTTCTAGCAAGGTTTTCAATTCCACAGTGGAATTAAATCTAGTAAATTAAAAGTGTACATTAGTGGTAGAAAAGGGTGTTGCTAGAAATAGTTACCCTGACAGTAAGAAAGAACAGCTAAGTAAGTGAAAGGATGAAAAAGAGGAAATTTTAAAGAAATAAGAAAAGCAGTCTGAGGCCATTAAGTATAGTACTCCCAAAAGGTATTAACATATTTAAGAGTCCAGCACCAATCAGTGTGATAGAATAAAAGAACTCAATGAAAAGACAGATAATAGGACTGTCAACTCTGCTGTGTAACTTTGGGCAACTCACTTAACTTCACTGGTCCTCCACTGTCTCATCTATAAAGCAAGAAGGTGGACTGCATTGTCCATAAAGGCCCTTCTAGCTCCAATATTCTGAGATCCTGTGTTCATAATGAGACCCTGAATCATTAATAAAAGATCAAGTGATGTTTGGTATGCACTTGTTGAAGAAGACCAGGAAGTATATAATCAATATTAGGAAGATTTTTAAAAGCAAACTTTAGTACCTACAGGCACAGATTTTAGTTTCCTAAAATGTGGAACAACTCAACATCCTTAATAGTGGCAGATAATTGAGGCTTCCTTGAATTATTATCTTTATCAATGATTAACGATTAGGGTAATTGTAATTAAAACACTAACCAGTTTCCAAATTTTTCAAAAGCTCTGTAGAATGTCTCTCCTAACTACTGTCTAGGAAAATAATGAAATTATGAAAAGAAGTCATAGGGCAAAAATGTCCTTAGAAATATTCGAAAACTAGTACTTTAGTGACAGAGTTAAAATCCGCCTTTGATAGCATATAGAAATTGCTGATACTTGTTATTCTTCTTGCAGCCTATGCCGTCGGTATGATACTTACCTTTGTTGTTCTGGTGCTGATGAAAAAGGGGCAACCTGCTCTCCTCTATTTAGTACCTTGCACACTCATTACTGCCTCAGTTGTTGCTTGGAGACGTAAGGAAATGAAAAAGTTCTGGAAAGGTAGCGGCTATCAGGTATGTGCTTATATCTTGGTTACCAAGTTATCTTATGACACTGCCTAACTTTGGATGGGAACTGCTTGTATATATCAAAGCTTTTACATGCCAAAAAGTTGCCTTGAATTTGTCAGGATGTCCTAAGTTTTTTCCACTACTACCCCCTTACTATTCACCTGCTGCATCATCAGTTCTCATCCCCACTGCAATCTGATGCCAAAATTCTGGTGACTCAAGATAAAACTACCAAGAAGCATGGGAGGGCATCAGGGAAAATCAAAACGGCATTACAACATGAGTTTTCAAAATCCACACAAAAGTCGCCTTCATGAAAGATAAAACCCTTGTTTAAGTAATAAATTTTGATACTGACATTAGCTATTTATAGTAAGAGTCCTGAGATTTTGCAGATAAAAAGTACTCTCTCCAGCATCTAAATGGGCCTAATGAAATGAAAGAGGGCACTCATTTCAGATTTTTTTTTTTTTTTTTTGCGGTATGCGGGCCTCTCACTGCTGTGGCCTCTCCTGTTGCAGAGCACAGGCTCCAGACGCACAGGCCCAGCAGCCATGGCCCACAGGCCCAGCCGCTCTGCGGCATGTGGGATCCTCCCGAACCCATGTCCCCTGCATCGGCAGGCGGACCCCCAACCACTGCGCCACCAGGGAAGCCCCTCAGATTTAAATAGATCAAGATTAACCTTTCTATAAAATTCCTAGAACAGAGAATATCAGATACCAGAATCTATCATGTTTGAGTTATTTCTTCGTTGAAGTTAAACCGCTTTCTTCTTTTCCTAAATGTTCTTGGTATTCCTGTAAAGTTTGTTTGTTTGCTTCGAAATTAAAGAGGGTTGGGAAACCCTTGCCTGTTGGGGTCATGGTCATGGCATTGATCCCTTCATGAGGCAGTTAGCTCTTCTTTGCCCTATTACCACAAACTACCCTCTGTCATCCACCCTCATGCATGCATGTCAGTGATAACATGAACAAAAGTAGAGATACTTTGGGTAGATGGCTACAATTCTGTTAGTAGATAAACAGTTCAAAGTTCATACCCACCTTGTGGTTGGTTGTAGTGTCATCTTTTTTTTTTTTTTTTTTTTTTTTGCGGTACTCGGCCCTCTCACTGTTGTGGCCTCTCCCGTTGTGGAGCACAGGCTCCAGACACGCAGGCTCAGTGGCCATGGCTCACGGGCCCAGCTGCTCCACGGCATGTGGGATCTTCCCAGACCAGGGCACAAACCCGTGTCCCCTGCATAGGCAGGCGGACTCTCAACCACTGTGCCACCAGGGAAGCCCTGTAGTGTCATCTTTATTTAACAAGAGGTGATTAGCACATTAAGTTAGACTACTATAATTGAAAAAAACACCAGCTTAGAATTCTTTGGGGTAAGTCTTATAATTTCTTTGAGATTAGGATAAATACCTGCCTTTCCTACCTCACAATGCTATTGTCTCAACTTGTATTTATACACATAGAATTAGTGTATGGCCACAAGGTCCTTGACTAAACTAGTAAGACAGCTTGTAACTTCCATGAAGAGGACACCCACATGGAATGTTTTATAGATTTTGAAAAGTAAAATTATGTCCTACAACACACACTCTAATACTTGTTTTGTTTTGTTTTGCTTTTAATATTTATTTATTTATTTGGTTGGTTGCGCCAGGTCTTAGTTGTGGCAGGCAGGTTCCTTAGTTGTGGCTCATGGGCTCCTTAGTTGTGGCATGCAAACTCTTAGTTGTGGCATGCATGTGGGATCTAGTTCCCTAACCAGGGATCGAACCCTGGGCCCTCTGCATTGGGAGCACAGAGTCTTAACCACTGTGCCACCAGGGAAGTCCCTAATACTAGTTTTTGAAAGTTACATCCCAAGAAGTGCTCTTTGTCATCATTTTTTAAAAATAGTTTTCTATTTCTTCACTTAGCAAATGTTTATTGAGCAGTTCTATTGAGCCAGGTACTGTTGTATGTGCTGTTGATAAAAGATGAACAAGTTAGAAGCAGTCCTACTCTCATGGCCTCTTGAAAGTTAGAGTCTAGTGGAGGATACAAATAGAGTCACTAACAATAAAGTGGGATGAAAGTTATGGCATGTGCCATGAAAACTAGAAGTGGGACACCCAGTGCTTATGGTTTTGAGACAGTCAAAGGTGATTTGAGGAAGGGAAGCTTCTTAAAGAATGTTAAGTTTATGGGACTTCCCTGTTGGTGCAGTGGTTAAGAATCCACCTGCCAATGCAGGGGACAAGGGTTTGAGCCCTGGTCCGGGAAGATGCCACATGCCACAGAGCAACTAAGCCTGTGCACCATGACTACTGAGCCTGTGCTCTAGAGCCCGCGAGCCACAACTGCTGAGTCCGCGTGCTGCAGCTACTGAATCCTGCATGCCTGTGCTCTGCAACAAGAGAAGCCACCACAATGAGAAGCCTGCGCACTGCCACGAAGAGTAGCCCCCGCTGGCCACAACTGGAGAAAGCCTGTGCACAGCAACAAAGACCCAACACAGCCAAAAAGAAAAAAAAAAGAATGTAAAGTTTATGTTGAGACTTTAAGACTGAGCCATGTGTTCCATATTGAGAGAACCATAACTTCAAAGGCTTGGAGGGTGCTTCCCTGGTGGCACAGTGATTGAGAGTCTGCCTGCCAGTGCAGGGGACACGGGTTTGTGCCCTGGTCCGGGAAGATCCCACATACCTTGGAGCGGCTAGGCCTGTGAGCCATGGCCGCTGAGCCTGTGCATCCGGGGCCTGTGCTCCTCAATGGGAGAGGCCACAGCAGTGAGAGGCCCACATACTGCAAAAAAAAAAGAAAAAAAGCCTTGGAGGGAAGAGCACTGACAGATTTAGGAATGAAATGAAGTTTAGGATGGCTATCCTATTGAGTAAGAATAGGGGAGCAGTAGGAGATGAAAACTGGAGAAGGAAGCAAGGGAAAGA